AGATTATAAATTCTTCTTGATATTGAACACGTTGTGCTCATTCCTCCACAAGCCTGTTTTACAGGTTTTCTATAGTATGGCGATCTGGCCAGTAGTGCTGGAGCTGGAGGGAACTGTCCACAGAGCCGTGGTTCTGAAATGCGCTCCGAATTCCGAGCCGTGCTCACAAAGCGTCAGTGTTCAGGCTGGGCGATTAGTGGGATGAGGCTCCTTTTGTTCAGCAGCTCTGCGGCATTCCAACTCCAGCAATGGAGCCAGCAGAAACTTATTAACACGTTAACTGCTTGCCTGCCAGTCAGCTATTCCTCATGTCTTTTAACAAAATTCTCAGGGATAACTTAATAACACAACCTCTCCAGACCATCTCCACTTCACCACGATAAGAACGAACTATTTCAAGATCATAATCCAAGAAAAGGATTTTTACCATGTGCTCCTGACTCCTCTCTCTCCCCATATTGTTATTTCCACTGTAGTTTCCTCTAATAACTGTCGATTGAAACATGGGATAAATTATACCTTTCCTTGAACCTTTGTCTAAACCCTAACTGCTCACACAGTGAAGCACTTTGAGTTTGAGAGGAAGCGAGAGACACAGAGAAATATTAGAGAAACGCACCAATCTGGCCACACTGGTCCTGTGAGGCTGACATTGTGCATTGTGTTTCAACCAAGCTCTTGGCTGAAGCCTGTCCAGTCTATCCTGGTCAGTGCACTGTCTACTGGACACACAGCTTGTCCAGTCTCTCCCCTCGTCAGTGTGCAGGTAACCTGTCCAGTCTCTCCTGGTCAGTGGTCAATCAGAGGAGCCTCTCCAGTCTGTCCTGGTCAGTGGTCAGTCTGAGAGGAGCTTGTCCAGTCTCCCCTGATCAGTGGTCAGACTGAGGAGCCTGTCCAGTCTCTCCTGCTCAGTTGTCAGTCAGAGGAGGCTGTCCAGTCTCTCCTGGTCAGTGTGCGGGCTGCCTATCTCAGCAGCAGGCTGCCTGTGAACACATCTCGCCTGCTGTCTCACTGCCTCACTGACCCCCAGGGCTCAGAGCCAGAGGACGTCATTACAGCAATTAGGTGAGAGAAGGGAGAAGTGGGAAATGAATAAAGATATGAGACTAATTTGCCTCAGGGAGACCGAAGCACTTTTCATCTGCGAGAGAGGCAGGGAAGTGGAGAAGGACAGTGGGGTAGCTGGACATATGACCAGCAGCGGCAGGAGAAGAAAACGGACCGACCGTAACAGGGTCAGCACCATCAGCAGCCCTCTCTCTGGCCAGCTGCCCTTCGTGTGAGCATGTGGAAACGAGTCCTGTGAGCTCCACCACTCCTGCTAGCTCAACAAGGAGCAGACAGCAGCACCAGCACAGACGCGGCAGAGATGAGCCGGTGCTACAGGCAGGTAAGAGAAACACGTTTCCAGGCCTGATGGCTTCTACCAGTGCTCTTTACAGGACACTAACACACTCTGGCAAGACAGGGCCACTGACCCCAGTCACTCCACACCAGTGAGACTGACAGCTGCTACTTACAGGCTGGACACCTGGGGCCACTGACCCCAGTCACTCCACACC